GATTATTAGTAGAGGTAATGTTCACAAAGAAGCTATGATATAGATAAACTATATTGTAATTCTAAATTTTGGAAATTAGTATTCTATGAACAGTATTTTGCTGACATCGGCATGATGACATCATCTAAACCGGTCGACCCAGGACCTAGCCACCTTGCTGGGTTTTGTCCCGGGTCGGTTTTTAAAACATTGGTGGGGAAAGCTTTTTTAAATGACCGTTGGATCTGGAGCATTTCGATATAGTTTGGAGTGTTTCGATGGAGTATGGACAAATATGACATGTCATACAACCAATGTCCTGCTTTGATTAGTTCCACGGTCTTGATTTTATTTTGTTTCTAGAATCTAAGTATGTCCCATTTTGATCAATTCTACGGTCTTGATTTCATTTCAGTTTTAGTTATTAACCATGTAACTCTCTGATAGTAAGGATGTAATAGAAACCTTATCCGTGCCCAAACATATTTTAGGGCATGAACAATAAAGCTCAGGCTTAGGGTATACCAAGGCTTATCAAAGCCTGTTCCCTCTAAAAATGGGAAACAACTTACACCTTCCCAAAGTTTTTTGTAAAGACAAATCGGTACCCGAAAGGTTTGGAAAAGGCAAACAAGCACCTTCCATCATGTGCTATTAATGATTTTCATTTGCTAAAAGAGAAATATGGTAGAAAAGACTGAAATGCCCTTAGAAGTTTAATGTTTTAGTTTTTTATTAATTTATGGCCATTCAATTACATAAATACCTACATCATTTGTTGAATTATGATTATGCAATCAAATTATTATGAGTTAGTGAAATGACCAGTTTGTCCCTATGAGTTTGTAGAAAATGAGATAACAAATGAACAATTTGTCCCTATTTTGGTAGCAAAATTTCAAAGTGAATATATAAAAAAAAGTGTAGATGTAAAAAATCTACCGTCATAAAAATAGGGTATGATCCCGTGAGGTTGAGACCACTGACAACCCACTAGACTTGTACACATGAAAGGGCAAGCGTGAAACTTCTGGAAAACACCGTGGCAATGTTTGTCGTAGGCACTCCGACGCGCTGAAAGAGATTATTTGATAAGAATTAAGGAAATAAAGAATTACCAGGAGTCTTGTCAGAGGCTAGGACTACAACAAAGGTGTCGGGTTCTTGGGAGCAAGAACTTAGGAGCGAATAGATGGTTTTGAGTAGTGTAGATTGACTATAGGAGATTGCATGCCTAATGAGAGGGCAAACCTCTGTTTTTATAGTGAACCTTAGGGGTTGGAATCCTAGTAGGACATTGAATCCTCTTTTTTGGGAGATAATCCCTATCAAGAAAGAAATATTATTTCTTGACCTTATCAGATTAAGTTTAATAGTTTAAATAAGATTTAGAATCTTAGCAAGACACTATGTCCTATTTTGGGAGATAATCCCTATCATGAAAGAAATATTATTTCTTGACCTTATCAGATTAAGTTTAATAGTTTAAATAAGATTTAGAATCTTAGTAGGACACTAAGTCCTATTTTGGAAGATAATCCCTATCATGAAAGAGATATAATTTATTGACCTTATCAGATCAAGTTTAATAGTTTAAATAAGATTTGGAATCTTAGTAAGACATTAACTCCTATTTTGGGAGATAATCTCTATCATGAAAGAGATATGATTTTTTGACCTTATCAGATCAAGTTTGATAGTTTGAGTAAGATTTGGAATCTTAGTAGGAGAAGAAATAGAATGGGATTCTGATTTCCTATTTATAGACTATTGCAGGCTAGTGAGCTGAAACCCAGTTTAGCTTAACTTATAAGATAGCCCAACTCATAGAGTGGGTAGTTCACAAGGTGATTTTAAGCGTAGGCCTAATCGAGATTGAGTTGAGACCTTGGGCCGTGATATGTTTATTTCGTTATTGGGTCTCATCAAGCCCAAGACGGTTTTTGGCCCTAACAGTTAGCCCCCCACTCTCTTAGTTAAAGAGTATTTAGCTTAGAGAGTAGATTTAATCGAATGAGTGCAGACTGAGCAGATTAGTGATAGCAGCTCATTAGGTCGGATGGATTGTTGTGTGGATTGGGTTGATGACTTGTCGATTTGAGGTGCAAGTCTTTCAATCGGTCTAGGCCGATTGAATGTGTAAATCTATAAATCGGTCTGAGCCGATCGAATTTGTCTACTTATGAATCGGTTTGGGCCGATCGAAGATATAAACTTATGAATTAGTTTGGGCCGATCGAAGATGTAAACTCATTAATCGGTCTGAGCCGATTGAAGGTGTAAACTCGTGAATCGGGCAGGGCCGATTCAGGGTGTAAACTCGTGAATCGGGTAAGGTCGATTCGAAGGTGTATGCCAAGTGGAGCTTGTATGGAGCTTGCAGTCGAGTCGACGTGACCGACTTATAGTTGAAACCTTTGAGGGCTATGTGGCCTAGTCGGCGTGACCGACTTTGTAGTTGAAAACATTTGATTGAAGCTGGAGCAGTGACATGCATGGCATGCATGTTTTAAGCAAAGAGTTGAATGGAGAGTCAATATGCATGATGTGCATGTGTTATGGACTGAATGAAGAGTGAGCTAAATGGAAAAATGGGTTGCATGTATTTAAGTAATGGGCCGAATAGAGAAAGATTTAACCAAATAGAGTGATAGTTAAAAGGAGATAATGACACATACCTTTCCCCTTCAAGTGCTGCCACCCATGCTTGATGGACCGAGTGGAGAGAGGGATGTTACCTTCTATGTCGGAGCTGAACCAATTGAAGTTGAGTGGGCACGTGATTCACTTTTGGGCTGAACCGAATGGGCACGTTGATATTGTATGTGCAGACCAAAATATCATTGAGTGGACTACTCGTGTTGTTTAGTGGTGCTGAGTTGCAGTGGGGAGTGGAAAGTTTGCAAACAGCGGGGAGTGTGAGGGCTTTTGTGACAGGTGTGCTGGAGATTGTGATTTGAAGGTGGTTTGAGTTGATATGTATTGGTTGGGAAGGGGCGATGGTTCGAGTTTGGAGTTTTGTAATACGGTGGGGTAAGGAGATTAGGCGAGAGTGGGGTGGCGTCACTTAAGCAGGTTTTGTTTGGGGGGTTTCTCTTCATGTTTAGTAGATGACTTTTGGTGTTTTGAGAGGATTACTGCTGTGTTTTTAGGATTTAACTATGTGATTGGAGAAGCTGTTAGGGCGATTTTAGGAGAACAGGTGGACGGGTTTTGGGTTTCAAAGTGGTGGCAAATCTCCGTGAAGTTGAATTAGGATTGGATCAAGGTTGGTCGAGTTTGAGTTACTTTCTAATGGAGCGGAGGTCCTAGAGATGCTGGCGTATTGCGGCATCTTCTTGAATGAACAAATTGACAGATTTTATGGCGGGTAATGCATTGCAAAGCTTTGATGATGGTGGCGGACCACCTAATGGTTTGATGGTTGAAGTGAAAAGGCACGTGTAAAGAGGTTAGAGACAGAAGCTATTGTCTTATCTGAACAAAGGATTAGAGAAGAGAGATTGTTGAAACAAAGTCAATGAATCAAGTGGTTTAGGAACACCACTTTAAACTCTGATACATTATTATTTTATTATTAATTTAGAACAATAATATAAGCTTCAAGGTCTTATACTACCCACTGAATGGATATAATATAAAATAAATTACAATATGCCGAATAGATATAATATGGCATGTGAATAGATAAAACAAACAAAGAAAAATAAAGAGAGAAAAAACAAAATTCTTATCGTGATGGAATTTTCTGATTAACATTATCAATCAAAAGGAGTTTCGTGTTGCCTCCCATGTTGTAAAGTCGTCGTTGGCAGATGATTGTCAGGGCCCCACGGTGGGCGTCAAACTGTAGATGCAAAAAATCTACCGTCATGAAAATAGAGTCTGATCCTGTGAGGTTGAGGCCACTAATAATCCGCTAGACCTGTACACATGAAAGGGCAAGCGTGAAACTTCCGGAAAACACCGAGGTGGTGTTTGCCGTAGGCACTCCGACGCTCAAGTTAGCGAGACTGAAAGAGATTATTTGATCAGAATTAAGGAGATGAACAATTACCAAGAGTCTTGTCGGAGGCTAAGACTACGACAGAGGTGTCGGGTTCTTGGGAGCAAGAACTTAAGAGCAAATGTATGGTTTTGAGTAGTGTAGATTGACTATGGGAGATTGCATGCCTAATGAGAGGGAAAACCTCTGTTTTTATAGTGAACCCAAGGGGTTGGAATCCTAGTAGGACATTGAGTCCTCTTTTTTCAGAGATAATCTCTATTATGAAAGAAATATGATTTCTTGACCTTATCAGATTAACCTTATCAGATTAAGTTTAATAGTTTAAATAAGATTTGAAATCTTAGTAGGAGACTAAGTCCTATTTTAGGAGATAATCCCTATCATGAAAGAGAGATGATTTATTGACCTTATCAGGTCAAGTTTAATAGTTTAAATAAGATTTGGAATCTTAGTAAGACATTAACTCCTATTTTGGGAGATAATCTCTATCATGAAAGAGATATGATTTATTGACCTTATCAGATCAAGTTTAATAGTTTAAACATTAAGTCCTATTTTGAGAGATAATCTCTATCATGAAAGAAATATGATTTTTTGACCTTATCAAATCAAGTTTGATAGTTTGAGTAAGATTTGGAATCTTAGTAGGAGAGGAAATAAAATAGGATTCTGATTTTCTATTTATAGACTGTTGCAGACTAATGGGCTGAAACTCAGTTTAACTTAACTTATAGGATGACCCAACTCATAGAGTAGATAGTTCGCAAGGTGATTTTAAGCGTAAGCCCAATCGAGATTGGGTTGACGCCTTAGACCGTGACATGTTTATTTCGTTATTGGGCCTCGTCAAACTCAAGACGATTTTTGGCCCTAACAAAAAGCAACAGAATAAAATTGCTCATTTGTGGTCAGAGCGTGTAATGAAATTCTTCATGATTTAAAGGAAATCATTTATACAAAAGAACATAATTTGTAATGAAATTCTTCATGATGTAAAGGAAATCATTTATACAAAAGAACATAATTTGTAATGAAATTCTTTCTAAGTTATAAATAAACAGAAACTATGAATTCAGTACATTAAAATTTGTTTACAAGGAAGATATACAAGAAAGGCAGAAGCAATTTCCAAGATGCTTCTGTTACCAGCTCCTAAATGTTGTATAAATCTTCCATTGTATTTGTTGAGTTACATCTTTGACAATTTCCTCCATGGGGTTCGCCATTCTGATTTCCGAAAAAGTATACACCATGGTTTTCAATAACAAAACAAAGAGATGATCAAAAATTAGAAATATAGCTACAGCAGATAAAAATTACGATAAAGAACAAAAACAAATAACACAAACAAATCTACCATGCACAATTTCTGCCTACCCAAACAAATAAGGCCAAAATCCAACCACCAAAAACAAGTAATGAAAACACAAACAAATCTACCATGCGCAACTGCTGCTTACTCAAACAAATAAGGTCAAAATCCAACCACCAAAAACAAGTAGCTCAAATTTACCCAAGCAGATCATGCCAAAATCAAAACATAAACAAACAATCAAACAATTACACCATGCATTACCAAACATTTATGAAAAAATTAATATGTACCAGAATAAGAAAAAGGGTCACTCTCTCCATGAATCAATTCAAGCAAACCAACCCCACCGTTTGGCTGGATTTTTCTTTCATTTTAGGGTTCAAGTTTCACTACAACATTTTTCATACATTGACTTGATACAAAATTGTAGAAAAACTTTTAGTGAACCAAAACTATAGATACTAAATTTTTTGACTCTGTGAAGTTAATAGAGAACCCGATGCAATAACTTTTAAAAGTATAAATATATTTTTAACACTTTGTTCTAGTTCATGGTCTCTGCCTTGGGGCATGGTGCTGGTATAAGGTGGCAACATTGCTTAAATCAAGTGAAAATAATGTAGCTGAAAACAACATTGCTTAAAACCGCCAAAAAGAGGTAGGCCTCAAAGCAAACTCACATTTTATTATTTTCTTGTCCTGTGAAAATAATGTAGTTGGATGGCAGGCCTGCCATAAGGACTGAGAAAGGAGATAATGTTATCCAACCAGTAATCAAGGCAGTAGAGGTCGATTAATATATGTAGAATTTCACTTTCATAATAGTCAAGACTAAGATTTGCAATCCATTATTTTATTTTCTAAATTGACATAAAGGATAAACCCAGATCCTTCCAACTACAGATTGTACCATATTATATATTATTCATTTTTCAATGTCAATGTTGAGGTCTCTTCTCTACATCAGTTTTCATTAATTTACATGCATTTAAACTATGTTAAATTTAAAATATTATTTACATCTGTTTCTAAAATGGCATATTGTCACAGAAACTTCTAAAAAGTTGCTGCATCGGGTTCTATTAACTTCACAAAGTCAAAAAACATAGTATCTATAGTTTTGGTTCACCAGGAAATCAAACAAAATTCTGGCCGTACCAGTCATTAAACTACCAACCACCAAGTCATGTTAAGAAAAGCTCCAAGCTCCAAAGAACAAAAATAATACTGCCCCAGGCAGCCCAAAATCCCAGCGACCAGAAAGCAAAAGCATAAATCAGTTCATCCATAAAAACAAAGGAAAAACAGAAATAAAAACATGGACAACACCCCCAAACACCACGCAAACAGAACACATTAATCAAAACAGACAAAATTTAGTTGTTTCTTTTCCAGAGCTATGAAGATAAAGCCACATAGAGAAAGTGGTGATTAACATACATTATCATTTAAACCAAAAACAACTAGAATAGAGAAATACATACTTTAACCTAGGTGGAGACCAGAAAAGGTTTAAATCGCCTGGAAAACCTTTGAGGTGCCCAAATAAACCCTTGTTTAAGTCAGCAATCCAAGTAACTGGTTCTGGTTCAAAATCAAATGAACCTACATAATAAACAAAAAATATTATTTAGTTTCCAGTCAATGAAATATGTGACTTGAAGAGCAAAGACAACAGGACACTGAGGACAGGACCTCATACTTACAGCACGCTAGGGTAGACCAACACCCTCAGAAACAAGACAATATACAAATCCAACTAGAAGATGTACAACAGAAACAAAACTGCAGAAATGGTTTGTACAGTTAAACAGGGATAACATTTAGAAACGCCAAGGCTATGAGATCCATTGAGAAAAGAAACAATGAAACACTATCTTATCCACTTTTTGCAAAGGATGTAACATGAAAATTGAAATCTACAAATGTAACAAAGCAATTACGTTATCTATGATGATGACATACTATGGATATGGGAAGTAATTGTAGACCTTCTTGTTGAGTATATTGAAGATGACATTTAAGAAGTACCTGTAGAAAACAAAACGCCAGCAACATCTAGGCTTAATCTAAAATTAAGAGAAAACAAGATCCCAGGCTTTAAAATTTAATCCATGAATTCAAGGTCCAACCTACATAACAAAGAATCAAAATCTTATTCTCATAGTAAAGCAATTCCAACCCTTCTTTCCCTTCCGTCTCTCTCCAACCCAACAGTGGGTTCTCTTTTTTTCTTTATCTCCAGACCCACAACCCAAAAAACAAAAAAGAAAAAACCAACTACTGGTTGGCCGCCATGTGAGGAGGAAGTGAAGAAAAAAATTTAGTGGCCGCCGGAATCGGCCAGATCGTGGCGGAAGAATGTGATTACTCTGTGATCTCATCCGATCTGCCCTTGAACCGCCATGATCTAGCCCAAATCGTGGCAGACACCCTACGTCGCGGCATATCTAGAGCAACAAATCCGCCGCGATGCAATCTGGTGCTCCACATCGTAACCAGACAAATCGCAGCCGCCGAATTTGTTTCCGGTTGCTGTGATATCTTTTTCATGACTTTGATCCGCCAAAATGTTTTTGGTTTAATCCAACAGAGAAGAAGAAACAAAGAGATGGAAGAAAAGAAAGACAAAAAAGAGAGGAGGAAGTGAAAAAAAAAAAAAAAAATTATAAATAAAAGAGAACGGAAATACGGAGAAAGAGATATAAAATTAAAAAATTTGGAGGGAAATTACTATACTGTCTTTTAGCATATGGGAATCATTAATGAAACATAATGGGAAGTGGTTGTTTAACATTTCTAAATTTTTTGGGTATTACTTTGTCTTCACGGAAAACTTTGGATAAGTGTATGTCGTTCGGCCCCTACAAATTACAGGTATAAATAACTCTCTAAAATCTTAGGCTCGAGCTAAGAATTTTTAAATGTAACCTATGCTTAACCCGGGAAGCCCAACCTGGGCCTAGGTATTTTCATCCCTATTTGATAGGAAAAAATGGATGAATGGATATTAGCAAGTGATTTTTAACTCTTATTCAATTGATTGATATCCCCCATTACTAAATACATATTTCCTATAATTATAAAAAAAAAAAAAAAAAAATCTCTTTAAACCTCATTTAATACTAAAAATAGCCCTATAAGATTAATTAGGTTTATTTTTCCCAATTTCAAACTTAACTATTGTTTTTGGTTTACAAACTTTTTCCCCTTATTTCCTAATATCAAATTTAAAACTTACTTTTCCTTTTACAAATTCATATTCATCTTATTGTGTGATTATTTTTTCCGTAGTTTTAATATTATATTTTCATATAACAATCAAATATTTAAAATAAAACAAATTGTTTCAATGATTATGAAAATTTAGGATGTAAGATTAAATGTTAAAAATAAAAATAAAAATATAAAATAGAGTATAAGTGTATTTAGAAATTATAATGTTATTTCTAGTAACTTTAATTAAAATTAAACTTGTCAAAAGAAAAACTAAATTTAAAAGTGAGAGATAATGATAAATTAGATAGGGGCCAAAAATCTATTGAGAGGATATATTGGCACTCCTATTAATGAGTTAAAGAAACTCTGCTTTTTAATAACTTTTGTGATGTCAAAATTTATCACTATATTAAATTATCAATATTAAGTTTAATTTCTAATTCTTTACAAATACTTTTGACACCCCACATTTATCTTATTTAATTTCTACTAATTTAATCAAAATTGAATTAGAAAATAAAAAATTATCCAAATTGCAGTTAATATAACAAGTTTACCCTCCTATAATATTCATAATTGAACAAGGAAATTACGAATTTACCCTTACTTTTATATCTTAATAATGTAAGCCTAATTTTCATCTAATAGATAATGAAGACTTTTCAACTTATATTTTATAAATTTAAGCTTCATTTGGTTTATTATTGGATGATTTTCAGAATAGTATTTTGAAAAAAAAGTAAAATTTGGTTATTTTTACGAAAAATGTAATTATTAATGTTTTGTGAGATGAAAAAGTAGAATGGGATTTTGAGAATATTGAAACAAATGCGGGTCCGTTTGGTTAATTATTCTGATAGTTTTTAGAATAATATTTTGAAAAAAAAAAATTAAATTGGGCGGGTATTACGATGTAGGATTTGGAAATTAAAAAAAATATTCCCTATATTTGTTTATTTACTAAACACCCCTATAATAAAATATTAAAAGTTAACAAAAACACCCCTAACCCACCCATTAAATACGGACAGCTGGCCGCCACCACCGAAGGATGGTCGGAGTGTTTTTGCAATTTCTAAAAAAAATATTTGGGGGTATTTAGTTAAATTAATAAATTTATGAGGTTTAAAAGAAATTGAAAAATATAGAATAATATTTTGAGAATAATAACATTTTACTGTTTAACATTTTTGGGAATACTAAATACCATTTTTGGGTTTAACTTTATTGGAAAAACCAGAGTAGTATTTTAAATTCATGAACCAAATGAAGCCTTACTCTTTATATGATGAATCTAATCCGCCAAATAGTTGGGCAAGTTTATTATCCAAGTACTTGAAATTCCTCGACATGATATTCTTATCTCTGAAGTAGTTTTGATTTCCTTATTGTTAAGGGGAATCGCTATTGCACTAGATCATACTCAACCAACTAGTCGAGATATTGACTACCAGTCTTGAAGTTTCAGTCTCTACTCTAATAAAAATAAAGGTTAATACCATTTACACCCCCTAAGATTCAAGAAATTGATAGTTGGACCTTTCAATTATAAAATGAAGGATCAAATGACCTAAAAGAGGGGTAGATTAGACTTTTAAAACCTCCGAATGTTACTTTATCACAATATACTCAAATTAAAACTCTTACTGACTTAAAGATGTTTCTCTAGTGCAATATATAAATATGGCAAATGGCAAGCAATTGAAAATGCTTAAACAAAAAAAATAAATTGCACAAATATAAAGAGATAAGAGAAAAGAAAAGCAAACACAACAATACATAATGGTTCGGCCCCAACCAATCTATGTCCACTCCTTTTAAGCTATCCTTCTTGGAGTATTCTATAATCTCCCTTAGTTGATCACCCAACCAAGCAAATCCAATACAAATAGCTTTCCTCCAAGTGTTATTAAACATTTACACACAATTGTTTCACGAGGTGCAATTGGAACCCCTCTCTCACACACTAAGACTTACTTTCTCTCAGCAGAATTACCTAGAAACCCGAGAATAAACCTCACTCTTTTACAACTCGAAATTTGATTGATAAAACAATGAAAAACTCTCTCAAAGAGTAGATGAACAATTGTATAGCTCAAGAAACCTAATCTACAAAAATACAAGTTTAGGATTTAGCAAGGGTTTAATTTAGAATATGAAATTTGTAAGTGAAAGCTCCAAAAGATTGGTATAAGATTGTTTGATTTCTTTTGTTATGAAAGAGATGAAATTTCACAGAATATAAAGTTATTTCAGAATGGGTTTTGCTTAATTTATATATGGGAGTGCAAAAATATGGTCATTATACCTAAAAAGGGACTTTGAAAATCGTAGAAATTGGCCGACCATTTCCAATCCGATAGATTGTTTCCAATCCAGTCGACTAAATTTGAGGTGGTGCCTATGTGGTGCATAGATCCGGCATTTTCCCCATCCCGTCGGAGACTTGGACCGAATGGGGCGGAGATTCCCTGAATGGTTCGAAGACTGGACCAAGTCGAGGCCAAAATTCAATCCACAGGGCTGGGGACAGGGTTAGTCTTGTCCTGGCCCGTCCCGCCCCGCCGTATATATATATCTTCCTACCTTCTACTCGTTGTGAAACACTTATTTAGACATAATAGTTCCATGGTTATAAACATAAAATTAGCAACTGACTTTACACAGATCTAGCAATTATGATAGTGATAAAAAAAAGGCACTTATGACTCAACGTCAACCTCAACAAGTCAAATAACACAATCCCAGTAAAATAGGAAATTTTGACTCGACTACTTTATTACTTAACTGGTATGGCAAGGAAGGAATTTGTTTGGGTAATACAATTGGGATACTATTAAAAATGAAATTAATTTATTTTTGTATATAAAAGATTTTGTCACAGATAAAAGACCTTTTTGCTAAAGATATATTTAGTGTATCATGAATTGTTAAACTTCTTTTCCCCCACTGCATTAACCATATTCTTCTTCAATTACCCAATAAAACTTGCAATTACGGTAATACAAAGGCCTTCAATAATAATACAACTACAAGATGATATTCAATTGCACAAGTATTTACATATTGTTTATTATGGGTACAAAAGAATTGCCCTCTATAGGGAACAATTTGGAGAAAGAATTCAGAACAAAATGTCTACAGCAGCAAAAACAAAAGCTGATGAGAAAAATATAGATGAACTCATCTTTCTGTGCACAGGTATTACGAAAAGAATTTACTCCTAAGCAAAACATAATGCTTCCAAATAATCGTCAACATATGCTAAGCAAGGCCAGTGATCAGTTCTAATTCGAACTAAAGTTGAGTTATCAGATACTTCCATTCGAAATAGAAGATGGAACCTTGGGGGAAGAAATATCAAAATGAGAAAGCAACCCATATTTCTTTTACTGATATTAACCTGACCTTCTCCTTCTTTTTCATCCCCGATGTAAGTAAGATGCAGAGGCCCTCGCTCAATATCAGTACTGAAGTTACTACCATCAAGAAACGAATCAGAGGCCAAATCCTTCCAGATGATATCCATAATGATTCCACCATCCTTCACAATGTTGATAAGTTGCTCTCCAATCACGCTTACAACAAAGGGTGCCAGGCAGCGTTCTGTAGCCCTAATCAAAGTGTCTGCGGGAACTTCAAGTAGCTTGACTGACTGGATTCCATTTATTGCTGCAACCCCCTTGCCTCCTTTCAATGTAAAAGTCTCCCGCCCTGTGCTGGAAGAGGTACTACATGCCTCCCAAAGAGCATTGAACAAATCAGAGTAATAAAGAGGTATTACATCTTCTGGTATATCCGGTGGGGAAATAGCCTTGAGAAACATGTCTTCTATGCCTACTGTGATACTCTGAAGCTGGCCATATATGATCTGACCATTTTCTGCATTTGTTTCAATAAAAACATCGACAAGACCAGGTGATGGTTCGGAGGGTTCCAAATCAATAATTACATGAGCTCGAAAGCTTTCCTCTTCTCCAGAACCATTTTCTACAGGAACATCTAGTGAAACCATTTGATCAGAAAAACTACCCTTTCTTGCAGGTTCACCTAGAAGAAAAGGTATGTGACACGAAGGAATAGACCCATATGGTGCTGAGGATGAAAATTTAAGCACGGTAGCATATATGGCTGGAAGGGAATCTACTCCATCCAACCCACCCATAGAGGAATCATCTCCCCACAAATGATTGAAAGGCCCAGATTCAAATCTCAAACTACATGATATTCTAACCTTCAGCCCTTCCACATGCCTGAAGTCAGGAATACAAGAAAAGTGCCTCCTGAGTATTCCTAATATTTCTGAAATTTTAGAATCCATGACACGTAATGGTTCAAGTGGCTGATTGATATTTTCTGCTTTAGACACAATCTGATGATCAATACTGCCATCAAGTTCCCTTTCATAAACAACAGGTTCAGTGTCCCTAATGTTGTCTATAAAACC